TGCCGCCTCTTACGACAATCACGGGACGGTATAGGGTAGAGGATTTTCTTTATAGGACAGGGTGACATACGGGCATACAGTCCACCTGATGGTAAGTGGATGCTGCGGCCCATAGACATCTACACTTTTGATTACTAAAATGCAGAATGCGTTGTCACCCGTGAGGACTAAGATGGAATGCCTCGTTTCCAATAAAAAGTGTCTCTGGTTCTCTACACTCACCATACGAAACACAGTAGCATTAAGCTACTATTTTACGCTGGTATTCTGTGAGAGCGTGGTCCTTCCCCGGTCGAGCCGACCCATTCGTGCTACAACTATACTACTAATTTAACTGCGGCATGACTACCACGTAAAAAAAGGATATTCTTACACTGCCATACATGGTAGAATAAGGTGAAATAGCAGCCAGATCTCATGGCAGGAATGATAATAGAAAAGAATAAAAATTAATGTTTCTTAATGAAATATTTATTATATTTTGTATTTGAATAAGATTATAAATGGATTAACTAAGCTACAAATATTCCTTAAAAAAGTTGAAAATGTGTAAAAAATTACAAAATATTACTGAATCTTACTAACTGAACTGGGTGCTGCCAATTGAAGTTGAATAAATTTGGGTGTATTGTTAAATTTGTAAAATAAATACGGAAAAACGTATCAAGTGACAGTAGGTTAAACTGAGTTAAGATGGTCCTTGGGCCATCTTAAAACCGCAGACATTAGTTTATTTTATAATTTATTTATTTTACATCTACCCTAGTCGACTATAATCTTGTATTAGCCGGCTACACCTAGGTGTATCTGCACTTCGGCTATAAGCTGTTATGTTACGGCTGCCTAGAACTAGGTGTAGCCCAATGATTTCAAAAGGAAGGATACGCCCATCTAAATATTATACTCATAACTTTTTCATACAAGAAAAAGTTGCGCATCTGTCATAATACAAACGTCATATCAAAAAACGACGTAACCAGGGTCGGATTTCGTAATATAATTATCCTAATTGTAATTTTTTTTATTACATTATTTCATAGTTTGTAGTACATAGTATGGTATTAATAATAAGCGAAAATACCATAATTTTAACTAAAGGTCGACTTGTATTATTATTGGGTCCTCTTACATTTTAATATTATACCATACGATATCGAGAATTTCTGTATTGTACACGAGTATCGCGTTTTTTAATAAAATTAGAATTAGCTCCCTTTCTGGTCAATCGATGCTCAATCGATCCTTTTCTTTTGTTACTCTTTTCGTAATTACCCTTATTGAATATAAAATATATTAGGTACCAATATTCAAAATTTAACTTACACTGAGTTCTTTAGACAAAAATTAAACAGAAATAAAAATAAAACCGTAGAAAAACGAAACGTAAAGATAAACTAGACGCGTGACGCCAAAATCCCGGGACATGGGAAAAAAGAAACATGAAACGTCAAATGTGATATTTTTTTTAAAGAGTCTGAATTTTATTTTCCATACAATTTTTTTGAGGGCCTGCCAATCTCAACCCTGGCCTAATTTTGGTAACGTAACTAAACTAACTGTAAAATAAAACTTTAAAAGCGCGTTTATATAATAATTTAATTGTAACAAAATTAATATAAGGTTATTTACCGATGATACGATATCCCATGTTTTTTTTTATCTTTGTATTGTAATTTTTGCATCCTTTTACCACGTAACTAGACATATTTGTGACAGGCAAATCTGTCCTGCGCGCGCACCACTGTCGACCGATTCGCCTGTAAGTTTTAGGGCCAGCGCACTGGTCCGTTTTAATTGTTCGGTCGGCCCGGTCCTTACGCTAGTAAGTCAATGGTGTAACTACACTTCGGCTATTAGCCGTAACACATACATAATATACTACTAGAAACCGAAAAACTTTTATTGATAACGCAACTTTTTAACGATTGACGGTTCCGCGGTATAGTATCTACTTGCTACGCAAACTACTTCTAGGCTACTTAGAACGCAAATTTTCAATAATGATGGCGCTGATCATCTGGTGGCATCTGGTGAACGTAATATTACCGTTACGGCCTATCCAAGTCCACTGCTGATTATAGGCCTCCCCCATAGAGGGGATATTTGCCATAGATGCCAAGCATGGCAAGTGGGTTGGCAAACGCGGTTTTTTTTTACTTTGAGTCGTTATTAGGAAAACGCTGCTGCCCATCTGATTTGTATCCCTCTGTCGCCTCATTACGACATCCACGGGACAATATAGGATAGTGGACATTCTTACACCGCCAGTACATGTTAAGAGGATAGAGTAAGTCAGCTCAAATTCTAATTTCGTCCCCACTTCCCCGCGCGTCGTATGTATGTACCGACATGTTTGTAATCACTAATACTGTAAGTAGAAAGGTCGTTAGACACTTATTTCATTAGGTTTATCATATTTATGCCTGTTTCTTAACGCGAAGCCGGCCGTTTCTTATTTTTATCACGGTTATTTCCCATTTCAATTTTACGTCGTACTGTTGCGTAATGTATATTCTGATTTAAGCGACACAACCTCCCCGTTCAAAGGCCGAGGCGAAGTGACCGTGCTGCAGGAATCACGCTTCAAAAGGCCGGTAGTTTAGGTAATTTCTTTTTTACAGTGAAAATAATGGTATTTTAAAAAAAGTAAATAACATAAGCACTGCTTTATAGTTAGTTCAGTTAGTATGCAAAGTTTCATGATCTTATTTAAAGTATTCTATGAATAACAGCGGTTTATTGTTTATTTTGGAGGTAACTTTGGATTTTTTTTTCTATCGAGAAAATTTTACGAAATCGTGTTTTCGTCTAACATAATCCTTAACATTAATCCTCAACTTTACCATATATTTATTTCGAAATTAATGCTGCAATATTTTCGGCATAACGAAGGATCTTGCTAAGCCATTTTGAGATTATATTTCCCCTTAAAGATTATTCCGTAGATCGTATAGCGTATATATACGTATAGCGTGAGTTTATTAGCCTTCATTGTTACGTTTGAGAGTTGGTTTGTCGACGTGAGCACCTTTAACTCTACTGTCCGTCGCCGGTCCATTTTAGATTTGTATTAAACGAGGTGGTTACAACGCCATCTATCGGATTTTATAGGATTTCTCTGGCTGTATGCAGAAGCCATTTTGCAGCTATATTATAGTTGTAGCACGAATGGGTCGGATCGACCGGTGAAGGACCACGCTCTCTCAGAATACCAGCGTAAAATAGTATCTTAACGCTGCCTTGTTCTGTATGGTGCGTGTAGACTGCCGGAGACCCTTTTTACTATGAGATATTCCATCTTAGTCCTCAGGTATGACAATGCATCTGTATTTTGATTCTTAATCGAATCTATGGGTCAGCATCCATTTACCATCAGTCAGACTGTGTGCTCGTTTGTCACCATGATTTCGCGAACTAGGAATCGCGGCTAGAGTTGAAGGTGTCGCTCGCAGGACAAAATTGGCAATCGATTTCTTTATGTCGCTAACACATGGTAGATTTATAGTGCTTACCAATAATAGTCTTTATTAATTGTTCTTTTGTTATATATTTCTTTTTTAAATGATTTCAAAAAAGGGAGATCATGCCTTTAACTTTGATTTATGTGAAGCAATAGTAAAAAGAAGTAAAAAGTCAGCAAGTTGGTAGTGTCTCACGTCCGTGCCTCGGAAAGCAAGTAAAGCCATTGGTCCTGCACCTGATTTCTCTCCGATCGTTTCGGTTTACCGTCCCATCGGAATATGAAAGGGAATAGAGAGTGCGCCTGTGCTTGCGCATACACTTGGGCACTATAATCCTGTCCTGCGCCGATGACTGGTATCCGTTGAGGCTGGCCGCCGTGACGTATATATATATATATATATATATATATATATATATATATATATATATATATAGATTTCTATATATTCGACGCGTATGTTTTTATGTTACTTGCCGATTTATAGGCTATACTTTGGGGGTGATCTCTTCTAACGCGTGATAAAATAGGTGAAGATTTTAATGTAACAATTTCCAAGATATTCTGGTTGTCGGTTTGAATTTATGGTATTCTTTCCATTGTCCATCCATTACAGCCTATAAAAAATCACTGTTGAACGTAGGCCTACCTCATAAATTGCCTCATATGAGGCGATTTTGGCATAGTCGCCTGGCAATCGGGTTGGCAACCGCAGTTTTTTATTATTTTCTCCTATTTCATTTTCCTTCTGTCGCCTGTTGCGACATCCTCGAAACGACATGGGGTAGTTCTTTAGATCACTCAAAATTACACAATAATTAAAATTTTAGTTAAAAGTACAAGAATACTTCAAAACTAAAAAGATTATAATTTCCATATAACTTCTGAAGATAGGGATTTAATTAATCCTTAAGGTGGGTCTACGCTAAACGAGCCGAGCACGAGCTGAGCACAAGCTGAGCCGCTCTACTCGCGATATCAAGTTAGTGCGGACGTACAACGAGCCTACAGCATGCAAATCGATGCATGCGATGCAAATCCCTCTGTGTTCGTCAGAAAACCGACAATAGGTGGAGCACAGTCGAGCACGAACCAAAAGCTCAAAGTACGCTCGTTTGAGGCATGTAAGTCGGTCCACACTACACGAATTTGTGCTCGGCTCGTCTAACCTAGACCAACCTTTACACTAAACTGTAACACTGAATTATAAAATGCTATTATATTTATACATAAAGGTGGAACTAATATAAAGTGTGTAAAATATAGGTATACTACAGGTATATTATATTATCTAATTAAGATGTTCTGTTTACGAAGCAAAATATTTAAGTCTTTCTTGCCGTGTCAGTCACTTTGTACTGAGTATTACATTTAAAACATGACAGACTGCAGTAAGTGTTAAAAATACTCTACACCACTATTTGATATATTCCATGGCGGTCTTAAAATGACAAAGATGACGAATATATAATATCAAAATTTGAGTTAATTGCTATAAGAGGACTAGAGGTGACGATTACATGTTAATTTACCGTTTTAGGTGAGAAACGCCTAGGGACGGCAGCCGAGGCAGTGAGTAAGTCCTCAATGTCCGCTACGAAACGTCACCGCCTCATGAAAAGGAATGCGATCATTATTCTAGAATCTTCCTCTGTGATGCCCTTTAAATGGCACAGGCAGAACTACCTCTGCTTCTATTGTCATCGCACTTTCAAAGACACGGGGCTCCTCAAGGAGCATACTAGGACCGCACATATAGAGCCAAGAATAAAATCTGCCGTGTTATATCTAAGAAGGGACGAAAAGGTGAAAATAGACGTATCAACAACTGTTTGTGTGTTATGCGGCTCGAATTTTGAAGATTTGAACAGTCTTATAGACCATCTTAAATCCATACACAAAAAGACATTCACTGAGGATTGTGAATACGGTGTAATACCGTACAAACTAGAACCGGATAAGTTCCAATGCGCGATTTGTAAAGCGGACTTCCAATACTTCATCAAACTGAACCAGCATATGAACGAGCATTACGAAAATTATATTTGCGAGTTGTGCGGCAAATCTTTCTTGAGTCAGGATCGTCTCCGATGTCATACGTTGAGCCACGGCTTCAGTTTCCGTTGTAGATATTGCGCCGAGATATTCGACTCGCTCACGCAAAAGATCAATCATGAATACAAAACCCACAACAAGAAAAAGATAATTAAATGCCAATATTGTACAGAGACGTTTGAAAATTATAGTTTAAGAAAGAAACACCATAACGCAGTCCACAGTGTGGATATGCCGGCAATCTGCTGCCCAATGTGCGGCAAGACATTCCTAATAATGAGCAAAATGCAAGTACACATGAAAGAGGTCCATCTGAGGGAGAAGAATTTCGCGTGCACGATGTGCGATCAGAAGTTTTTCTCCAAGAGCCACGTACAAAAGCACATGGTAAAGCACGTCGGAGAGAGGATACATCAGTGCGAGATCTGCAAGAAATCTTATGCTAGAAAACAAACTCTTCGGGACCATATGAGAATACATAATAATGATAGGAGATATGTTTGTGGTGTCTGCGGTCAGGCGTTTGTTCAAAATAACAGTCTTAGGTTGCATATAAGGGTTCATCATCCTGACGTGGACGCGTAAGTTACTCCAGACCATGGACAATTACTATTATACTTACTGAGGGAAACAAATCAGGAGATAGACAGCAGCGTCTTCCTAAAAATAAAAAACTGCGGTTGCCAACCCGCTTGCCAAGCGTGGCAACTATGGCAAATTTCTCTCCTATGAGGCAATCTATGGGGGAAGCCTGTGTTCAGCAGTGGACTTGTGTTAATAGCGGCCTTCAACGTTGCTGCCCAACACTTAACTAACAATGTCCTCCAAACCGAATTTTGGTCATGGCGGCCAGTCGCAGAGGGGATGGTTAGTCTCCATTTAGATTGACCGCTGTGGCCGAAATTCTGTGGTTTTGGAAGACTATGTTATATTAATTAGCGACTTGAACCAGTTTACAAATAATTATATATCGTAATTTAATCACAGAGACTATTACTATACAGGAAGGTACGACTTTTTTTTAAATAGTATGTGGCGGCGCTGTCGTCGCGACAAGCGAAACACATCAAAACCTAAATCGCGCTATCAAAGTTCCGAAGTAAAACAGTATATATAAAATACCATCCTCTTACCTATCTCTGTCGACAAATGGCTTGGTGTTGCACTGAAGGCTATAGTGAGCCAGTATAATTGTATAATTACAGGTGAGAGTGTTGGGACAGACAAGGACAGTGTACATGCGAGAAGTGAATAGAAGTGACGCCATTTATAATCCCATTCTTTAAAAGCGCGAGTAGAACACTTTAAGGGTCGGAATAGTTTAATTAACATGTTCCTAAAACTTGTTCAATTTTCCAAATTAAACTGTAAAACATACAAGAAATACGGTGATTTCAATTTTTTTTAATAATATAATAGTGACATACGAATTAACAGTCCATCTGATGGTAATTGGCTAAAGCAGTCAAATGGATACCTGCTCCCATCTCCAAATATAGAAACCCTCTTATGTATTGTTACCCCAGACTCTTAACCAGGAATAGGTGACTTTCTACCTAATATTTTTTTCCTTTTCTCTTCCTTTTTTTTTTTTTTGCTTTTTCTTTTTTTTTTTTTTTTTTTTTTTTTTTTTTTTTTTTTTTTTTTCTTGGTTTTTTTTTTTTTAATTTTTTTTTTTCTTTTTTTTCTTTTTTTTTTTTGATATTTGAAAGGAACATAAATTAAAATTAAATCTGCTACCAAGTACTAAGGGGGTTATCCCGACTAAATACATACTTAGTAGAAAAAAGACTTGTAGTCTTTATTTAAGAAAATATTATTTTGAAACAACCTTCAAAATAATATTTTCTCAAATAATGACTACAAAGTCTTTTTTCTACTAAGTATGTATTTAGTCGCATAAATCTTTAGAGATCGATTTTACGTTAGCTGTTTCTGTTTTAAAGTTCTTTTTAACATTGTCGATGACTGTAGCCGGGGCTATTGCCAGAGTCTAGGCATTTTCCGAATGAGACCATGCTAAATCATTCTTCTACGGTGTTTTTTTTTTAAATATATTTCGACTTCAAGTAACGTATATGTATATCGGATATATTTATTGAAATCTCTGTTGTGTAACGCACTTCTAAATTAAATATTGCTAAAATATTGTAAACATTGTTTATATTTGGATAATACAATGCAAGTATTTTGCCTTTATTCATTGAAAGAAATATTTAAACAAATTTAAGGTGGATTTACAATTCCTGACTAGGTGTTGCGGAATTACAATTTCAAACTTTAAATGTACCCTAAATCCTAGACTATGTTTAGAATGTTAAAATTTTCGAGATATGTTTTATAGATTTTCCATTTTAGATGTTTTTATTTGAACGAAATGAGGGTACATTTACAGTTGAGAATTCACATTTCAGATGTAAAACCGCGGAAATACAAAGGCTGTGAATCGTCATCGATGCGCAGACGGAAAAATCTACAAATCCTATTCAACAATACCTCAGTGATACCTTTCAAATGGCGGGGGAAGTATCTCTGCTTCTATTGTAGTAAAGATATAACTGAATACATTGAGCTTCGGAAGCATACGAAGTCACACGGCAACTGCTCAATCGGGGACCACTCCCTAAAGGTCTTAAAAGGTGGCCAGAATATGGAAATCAAAATTGACATATCAGATATAAGATGTCAGATATGCGACGAACCGTTCCCAACGATCGATGAGGTGTTGAATCACCTCAATGTTAAGCACAAGCTGGAATATGATAAAGGCGTCGAAATGGCTATAGAGGAGTACCAATTGGCCGATCTAAAATGTCTGGCGTGTGACGAAAAGTTTTCCTATTTCGGTTATTTGGTATCCCACGTGAACAATAATCATCCAAAGAATTGTCTGATATGTGATAATTGCAGCCAAAAATTCAATAAGAAGAGAGACCTATTCTCGCATATGAAAAACTATCACAGAGAAGGTGGCTATAGATGCGATTTATGCCCCCAGAAATTTACCTCCCTGAATATCCTAAGAAAACATAGAAACAATCGGCATTTGACGAGGTGTAACATTTGTTTGTTAAAGCTACCCTCGGCGGCGTTGAAACAGAAACATATGGATTTGGAGCATCCGGATGACGGTTCCCTAACATGTGATAATTGCTGCAAGGAGTTTCACACGAAACAAGGCTTAAAAATGCATACGAGGAAGTGTAAAGGGGTTGAGGAAGTATTGGAAATTGGCATTAAAAGAGAGGGGTATGAGGCTATGGATGTAGACGATAGCTACGAAGATCTGGTGAAGAGACCTAGCGTGAAACAAATCAGGGAGAACATTGTCACAATCATAAATATGTCTACGGCAATACCTTTTAATTTTTACAAGAACAAATTTAATTGTTTCTATTGCTCGAAAGACTTCGCAGATTCGGATTCAATGCGGGATCACACGGTCGTAGAGCACCCAGTGTGCGACGTAAAGCAGAAATGTATTAGGAAATGTAGGGAATCGGTTGCGTGCGTTAAAATTGACATATCGACGCTGGCTTGTAAAGTTTGTTTCCAGTCGATTAGCGAGTTAGATATTCTAATTGACCATTTAATAGATAAGCATAATGCTAATTATGATAAATCTATAACGACATGCTTACAACCCTATAAACTAATTAAAGATCATATGGCGTGTCCTGTTTGTCCGAGCGAGGTTTTCCGGTTTTTCGGTACGCTACTCAAACATATGAATAACAGACATACGAACAATAATATCATTTGCGTGTACTGCGGACAGACTTTCAGGCGCGATCAAAATCTTAGGGTCCATATATGGCGGCACCACAGAGACGGTAGGTTCAAATGTAACATTTGCGGCGCCGAGTGTAATATACCTTCCCGTTTGTATATGCACATGGCTAAAGCTCACGGTGTAAAAGCGGCCAAGTGTCCGAAATGTCCCGAATCGTTTGCCACGCAGTATTTGCGGCAAAAACATCTGATCGACGTTCACGAATCGGGCCATAAGTGTTCCTACTGCGGCAAACTGTTCACTCGGAACTCTTTCATGCGGGACCACGTTAGGCGCACCCATTTGAAGGAAAAGAACGTCGAGTGTACGATATGTAACATGAAATTCTTTAACAATATTCTCTTGAGGAGGCATATGGTGAAGCACAGTGGCGAGAAAAATTTCAACTGTGACATATGCGGTGAACGATTTTACTGGAGGAAGAGTTTGCGCACACATATGACTCGACATACTAAACACGTAACCACATTACAATTGTAACTCAAACCTGCGAAAACTCACCAAATATAAATCAGTATTATTAATTTAAGTGCCATATCCGCGGACTGATAGGATGATAATTTCTTTACAGAACAAAATCACGAGGCAATCGCCGAAGAGACTGCGATGCGCAGAAGAAGAATTCTGGCAATTCTGTTTAATAATACAACGATTATACCGTTTAAATGGCGGGGGAACTACATTTGCTTTTACTGCGATTTAAAATTTGTTCAATATAAAGAACTGTACGAACACACAAAGTCACACGGGCCTTATGATATACATGGTGTTTCTTTAAAATGTAATCTCGCGGAATCATTTAAAGAACACATGCAAAATTTCCGAGAAGTGAAATTCGATATATCTAATCTAATATGTGAACTGTGCGAGAGATCATTCGATGATTTATCCGCTGTGATTAATCATTTGATTAATAAACACAAATTCGATATGGATAAAGATATAGATATTTCTGTAGAGGGATACAATTTAAAAGAACTGAAATGCACGTTATGTGAAAAAAAGTTCGATTGTATCGAAGATTTGATTTTGCACGTTTATATCAAGCACTCGCAAAGATCTTCAACTGAACAGACGTGCCCTATTAGAAAATATTCTAAAGAGCTTCTTTCGAAATTTCCAGGAAGCCGTCAGTCAAAAGAAGGAAATACAAAATTGTATACCGCTAGAATTGTTGAAACCTCTGAATCTCTTGATATTTCTCGTCGTCAGATGATAAAATTGAACCGGAAAAATCTCGCGTGCATTATAAAAATGTCTACTGCAATACCTTTTAAATATTATCAGAATCGATTTACTTGTTTCTACTGTTCAAAAACCTTTTCAGAGCACGAGGAGATGAGGGGGCACACCAATTCTGTCCACTCCTTTGCGGAGATCGAGGGTAGTCTACCGGAAATCCTCAAGAAGATCACTTCACGCGCTACCGTAGACATTTCTTCGTTGTCTTGTAGAGTATGTAATGAACATTTCGATGAGTTATATATATTAATTGATCATTTGATTGTGGCTCATCACGTTAAATGCGACAGAAGTGTAATCGGTGCAATACAGGCTTTTAAATTAGTCAAATATGAAATGGAATGTCCGTCTTGTCCGAATAAATTTTCATATTTTAATACGTTATTGAAACACATAAATGAAGAACATAAAGCGAAATTGCATCTGTGTTCGACTTGTGGCGCTCGGTTCGGAAGCGAAGCTGTGCTTACGTCACACGTAACTCGGACTCATAGCAAAGCTGCGTTTCAGTGTACAGAGTGCAATGCCAGTTTCAAAGTATTGATTAAACTGAAAAGTCACAAAGCAAGAGTGCATGGATCAAAAGAGTTCCCGTGCTCGATGTGCGAAGAGAAATTCTTAACCGATTACGGTAAACACAAGCATTTGCTGACGATGCATGGCATCGGTCACAGATGTACCCACTGCGATAGAATGTTCATAAAGGATTCCTTCATGAGGAACCACGTTCGTAGAATTCATCTAGTGGAACGTGAGATCGAGTGTACGGTCTGCAAAAAAAAGTTCTTCGATAAGGAACAACTTAAATTCCATATGGTTAAACATATCGGTTCCAGAGATTTTCATTGCGATATATGTGGCAAAGGATTCTTCTGGAAGAAGAACCTTCGTGTACATATAAACTCGCATAGTAAACGCACCGGTTAGTATGAAATCTATATAAACAGATATTTAAGTGAAACCAAAACGCAGCAAGTAGTAAAATCAAAAATTTTGTACATTCGACATAAATATAAATAGAATGAGAACATCATCAATGTAGTTAGTGCAATAAAATTACTTTTTTTTAATATCTGACAACGATAACCTTCGAACGGTTCATCCGACTTTGATGTAATTACTGGCAAACAATAATAAATTCTATTAAATTAAAAAAAAAAACGATAGACTATAATCTCAAAAGTTATCTGAAAAAAAAACACCTTTCGAAACGTTTCGTCACCGATTTCTCTTCAACGCATTAACCGATTTTAAAGTGGTTCGCACAGCAATCGATGGTCGTAGTCCTAATACCTCAAAACGTCGAGATCTGATGAAATCTCTATTTTCGAAAACCGGGGTGTAAAACCAATAACTTACCGATTTTTTGAAAATCATTGATTTGGAAGTAAAAAATTGAGTTGGATAGAGAACATCCTCCCTTTTTGAAGTCAGATGAAAATAGTCATGGCAAGAGGTGACTACATCAGATCGAGTCAACTTTTTAAAGAAATGCTATAATATGTCAATAAACTTGTCAGACCCATGTCAGCTTGTTAATCAAGATTCTCATATTTTTTGTAGGATGTTTAATGTATATTTTGTAGATTATATGAACATGTGTATAAAATAATGAGTAATTTTATTTTTAAATTTTGCTTGATCGTATTACGTCTAACTATTCCACATATTAATTTTGATTTTTAACATATTTATTTAAAAATTAAATACAGGTTTCAATTCTTAAAGTTTATTTGAGAAAGACTAACCATTCATTTATTTCACTACAATGTTAATAAATTATACCGCGTTAATCGTATAATATTAAAGATAAGAAAGACAATTTCCTGACATCCGCATACTTCACATTCGCGATAGGCATCGTCTAATGTATTAAGGCGGTTTTTGCTGTATTTTGTATAAAGTAAAAAACCCGCAAAATAAAGTCAGTCATATTTCGAGTTCTTTGTTAAAAATTTACTGCTATGATAATATGAAACCCGTTTAATTTAATTAAATCTCTGTATGCTCCTAAATCATACTTGTAAAAATGTGAAAGTACCAGAAGGCATTGATCCAAAAGTACTAAGGAATGATACTCAGGGTACCTTTTACATGAGAGAAAAATTTCTTTCCAGATAAAAATGGACGAGATAAGACGCCCAGTTGCAATAAACTGAGGCGGAGAAACCTTCAGATTTTATTTAATAATACAACGTTGATTCCCTTCAAATGGCGCGGGAAGTACATGTGCTTTTATTGCGGGGAAGATTTGCCAGGGTACGGTGAACTGAGAAAGCACACGAAAGCGCACGGCTTTTGTTCTGAAACTGATCGAGCGATTAAACTTGTTAAAGCAGGCGATGTTGAAGTTAAAATCGATGTATCGAACATAGCTTGTAAATTATGCGAAGACACGTTTAACGAATTTGATGAAATAGTCGATCATTTGTATACTAAACATGGACTATCGTATGATAGAGAGGTGCGTTTAGAAATAACGAAATACCGGCTCGCAGATCTCAAATGTTTACTTTGTGATCAACAATTTAGTTACTTCAATAAATTGGTGATTCACGTAAATAATTGTCATCCGAACCAACGCTTGTTATGTCATGAATGCGATCAGAAATTTAATAAAAGACGGGACTTAGATGCACATATTAGATCACGTCATAAAAAAAATTACACCTGCTTAAAGTGTTCTGTCACGTTCAAATCTAATTCAGAGCTACACACTCACAAAATGAACGCGCACGCCTCCTCATGTAATATTTGTTTTAGACAGTTCTCTTCAGCAAACAAAAGGTTAAAACATATGAAGGTAGATCATGTCTCTGATGCTTTACAGTGTGGATTTTGCCTTAAAGTTATGACTACAAGGCAGGGTTTCCTGCGACACGCAACAACTTGCACACGCACTATTGATGGTGTTAAAATATCCGAACCCATATTAGTAGGTGACGAAGAAAAGAAACCTACGGTTAAACAAATAAGAAATGATTTAGCATGCATCCTGAATATGTCTACAGCTATCCCTTTTAAACATTACATGGGTAAATTTAGATGTTTCTATTGTTCAAAAGATTTCACGGATTGCGATGATCTAAAACAACACACTGTTATGGAGCATCCTTTCTGTGATATCAGATTAAAGTCTATGAAATTGCGAAATAGGGAAGAGGGTCGTATTAAAATTGATACGTCCAAACTCTCCTGCAAAGTTTGCTATGAATCAATGCCTAATTTAAATCATTTAATAGACCATCTAACAACAGAACACAAAGCTGATATAGATAAAACTATCGATATCCAGTTGCAGCCGTACAAACTTATGAAGGACAACTTTGCCTGTCCTATTTGCGGGAAAGTTTATAGATATTTCGCGATGCTGTTGAAACATGTTAGTGTTACACATACGGACAACAAAAACGTCTGTGCTTATTGCGGTAAATGCTTTAGATCTCACCCAAATCTTCGTGCTCACGTATCGCGGCGACATAGAGCCGCGGCGTTTAGATGCAAGCATTGCAACTCGGAATTTATATCTAATAATCACCTGCGAACACATTTGGGCAAAGCACACGGCGCCAAAATTGTGCAATGTCTGGAGTGCAAAGAGAGATTCACGTCGCGCTATTTCATGCAGAGGCATTTGATCAACTCGCATAGATCTGGTCATAAGTGTACTTACTGCGGCAAATTGTTTATTAGGAATTCGTTCATGGTTAATCATATAAGGCGGACGCATTTTAAGGAGAAGAATGTCGAATGTTCTTTGTGCTGCGAAAGGTTTTTTGATGCGCAGCGCCTAAAAATGCATATGGTGAAACATTATGGGGAAAGAAATTTCCATTGCGATGTTTGTGGAAAGAAATTTCTTTGGAAGAAAAACCTGAAAGGTCACATGATATCACACTTTAAAAACCCTAACACCCAAACGAGATTTTACGACGAATTGAATAAGGCAATAAAGTAAAGGGAGATATTTTTAAGAAGATTATAGAAAGGATAATTTCTTTTCAGATGAAATTCCGCAAGGACCGTACGAGAACTGTACCTCTGAGAGAAGGAGGAAAAACTTACAAATTCTATTCAACAACACAACTATTTTGCCGTTCAAATGGCGAGGGAGGTGCCTCTGTTTCTATTGCGGAAAGAGTTACACGGAGTATACGGATTTTAGGAAACACACCCAATCACACGGCCCTTGCACCACGAAAGACTATTCTTTGAAACTGATAAAAGGAAATCACATTGAAATAAAAATCGATGTCTCGGATATCACTTGTGAAATTTGCAATGAAGCTTTCACTACATTCGACGAAATAATCGATCATTTAATCAGAAAACACAACATGGACTACGATAAAAGTATAGACACGCCTTTTCAAGAATATAGACTTGCGGATTTCCGTTGTCTACTCTGCGATCAACAGTTTACTTACTTCGGATATTTGGTGAATCATGTCAACAATGTTCATCCGCAAAATAATTATATTTGTAATTATTGCGGTGCGAGTTTCAACAAGAAAAGAGATTTAGCGCTGCATTTACAACACAATCATCGCCAAGGAGGATACTCTTGTCCAGAATGTCCTCAGAGCTTCGAATCTCATAGTCTTCTTCGTAAGCATCAAAACGACTTTCATTTCAGGAAATGTAAACGTTGCGGGATGAACTTTGCTTCCTATAGTCTACTATTAAAACATATACAGTGTGATCATCCAGATGACGGTAGCGCCAAATGTCCACATTGTTCCAAACAATGTCACTCGTCTCAAGGTTTAAAACAACACATAGCCAAGTGTAAAATTAACATGCTTGCACAAATAGATCATTCTGTAGATAACAACATTTCCCTCGACAATATACTGCAACCGAAAAAGAAACAAAACGTTTTACAAATACGACAGAATATTCAGTGCGTTTTGAACATGTCTACAGCGTTACCGTTTAAGTTTTTCGCGAAATATTATTGTTTTTACTGTTCGAAAAAATTCGTTGAATTTGACGAACTAAGAGAACACACTGTAGTAGAACATCCTGTATGCGATTTAAAGTCAAAGAGCATGATGAAATGTAAAGGAGAGAGAATAACCGTAAAAGTAGATATAACAGACCTGAGCTGTAAAATTTGCGGTCAGGCTATGGACAATTTAGACATACTAATAGATCACCTAATCTCACAACATGACGCCAACTACGATAAAACCGTAATAGGCTGTCTAGAGCCTTACAGAGTGATAAAAGACAACATGCCATGCCCGATCTGTCCAAATCGCGTGTTTAGATATTTTGGAATCCTACTTAGGCATATAAACTCTGAACACAGTAACAACAATAAGATCTGCGATTTTTGCGGCCGCAGTTTCAAGAATGTAACAAATCTAAAGGTGCATATTACTTACGCACACACCGGCGCCTGCGAGTGCGACATTTGCGGCACGAAGTACAAGAACCAGTGGTGTTTGAGTCGGCACAAAGCGAAAAGCCACAACGCGAAAGACTACAAATGTCCGAAATGCCCAGAGCTGTTCCAGTCAGAGTACCACAGGCAAAAACATCTGATTAAAGTCCACGACATCGGTCACAAGTGTACGTACTGCGGGAAAATGTTCACCAGGAACTCGTTCATGAAGAACCATATACGTAGGACGCATCTGAAGGAGAAGAATGTGATCTGTTCGGTCTGCAACGAGAGATTCTTCGACAACTACCTGCTGAGAATGCATATGGTGAAGCACGAAGGCGAGCGGAAGTTTAGCTGTGAAGTTTGCGGCAAAGCGTTTCTTAGGAGAAGCAACCTCAGTTCGCATAAGGAAATGCATAAGAAGTATGGACATTTACAGCCGTAAACTTCATTAATGCCTCGTTTCTCGAAATTTCCAATGATTTCTTATATTATCATGAATGTGTACTACACATTGAATAAAACTTATTTTTCGGATTTTATTCGATTGATTTAAACTATTTTTATTTTCGACATTTCGGGTACTTTGTAGCGCTCATGGTTACGGGTGAGGTAGTGATGGACATTAAAAAAAACATCGGTGTTTTTTTCGGTTGAATGCATCGGATTGTTATACATCGATGTTTTCTATACATCGATTGTTTTTCTATAAGTTAAATATGTATGTGGTTTAGAAATAAAAAGCAAGCATCTATTAAAATAACTTTATTATCAATTTATTAATAATATATTCCCTTTTACAAATCAAAATTTTACGCAATCTTTTACCCTTTACTCTATTCCTTTGTTGAGTCATTACCTGCGCCGCTTGCGAAAACTGTCTTTCTGATAGCACTGATGTGCCCACCATTGTTAGATATTTAAAGACAATTTTATGCAATATTGGAAACTGTATTTTGTAATCTTTCCAAATTTCTAGAGGATTGTCGTTAAGTCGTCCAACAGGACAGGACAGATAAACTGAAAGTTCATCCGACAAGCTATCTTCAGATTTATTACTCTTCCAATTGCGATGTACCAGTTTGTAATGATCTTTCCATAATGAAAATGTCTCTTCACTTTTATCAGACTTATCCGAGTCTGACTCGATTTCTTCAATTTGACGCAAATGAATCTTCATTAAATCTTTAATTTTCGATACAGCATTTCTACAAGCTATTGCATCGTTAAAGTGATTTTTTTTAAAACGTGGGTCTAAAATGTTTGCTATAGCAAGAGGAGTTACATGTTCAATGGAACCCATTCTTTTCGTAATTTCTTGCAGAGCCAGTTTTAGCACTTCACGTGCCACAGGTTCTCCTGCGACACCTGCTGAAGTAATTTTGGAAAAGATGCAGCGAACTAAAGGTATAATTTTGCTGGTTGTGCAATATTTATCTGCAGAAATTTATTTTGTGTCTACCTCCAAAGGCTCCAATATCAGGAGGACGGATGAGGCAATGGATATTTCTGAATTGCTGAGCATTGGGGGTGCGGTGGCGTATCGAAAAAGAATATCATTTATGACACTGACGTATGTTTTTCATCGAGTTCGTACATGCCGAGAGTAACTGAAATGAGTTCTATTCCAAAATGAACAGTTACGCCTATAAAACTTTTCATATTTAATGTATCAGACCAAATATCTGTCGTCAAGGTTAGTCTTCTATGGAAGACAATTTCTTTTTAAAAGTTTATGAAACAACCTCATATTTATTATACAACCATCGCCTTAGACTTGTTCTACTTGGTATTTTATATTGAGGAGCAACTGCTTTCATAAGATTTTTGAAACCTTCATTCTCGACTATTGAGAAAGGCTGGTGATCTTTACAAATCATATACGAGTATAACAAACAATTGTTAAGTTTTCTTGTTTTCATGCCGGATTCTAAATAAGAGGAGATTTCTTGAAAACTGGTCTTGATAGATTTTTGACGTTTTATAGGGATTACTTCCGAGTCAGAATCTAAAGCTTTATCCAACGGTTTTGACGTACTTTGAGAACTACTCGTCGAAGGATTAACGGTTTCGGAATCAGATTGAACTGATTTAAGTTCAGCAACAATACCAATGCAAGGTGTCTCCTTGGAACTTGAAGCAGCTGCTTCTCTCGGCTCTAGAACTGATTGCGTGATTCTTTCTCCGATGTAGTCCTTTGAAACGGAACAATTTCAATGTAAGCAGCCTTGTGGACATTACGAATATGCCCAAATAAGTTTGTTGTATTTCCAGTACACTTGATAACTTTTTGACATAACTTACATTTAGATGTATTGTCATCAATTCTGTCGTACAACTTCCAGACTAAACTTTTCTTTTTAGGCGCCATTATATTCTGAAATAGATAAAAAGGTATGTATATTAACTCCTTGTTTCCTGCCGCCCGGTTCCAAGCTTCAGGACGCCGATAGTTTAGGTAATTTCTTTTTACAGTGAAAATAATGGTAATTTAAAAAAATAAAAAACATAAGCCCTGCTTTATAGTTAGCCCAGTTAGTATGCATAGTTTCATGAGCTAATTTAAAGTATTTTATGAATACCAGCGGCTTATTGTTCAGTTTGGAGGTTAATTTTGAATATTTTTTCTATCGAGAAAATTTTACGGAATCGTGTTTTCGTCTAACATAGTACTTAACATTAATCCTCAACTTTACCATAAATTTATTTCAAAATTAATGCTGCAATATTTTCGGTATAACAGAGGATATATTTCCCCTTAAAGAACCTTAGAAATTAGAGAATGCATGTGCACCTCAGTAGGAAGGACAAAAGCGGTCATTTAATTATTTTACCCTTCTTTTGATGAATCATTGAAATGAAAAATAGTATTCTAAAAAATCTAAAAACAATGAATTACAATGAATAGTAGTACTATACTACAATTATTAGAAATTTCTAATAATTCTGATATGTATATTTAAGTTTAACTTTGTATTTCGAAAAAAAAATTATGTAAGGATACTCATATTTAAATAAAATACGTACATTACATAAGTCCACATTTTTAGAGACTGTTTAGTAGTGTATAATATCATAGTGTATATTATATACCATAAATAATATTTAAATCTGTGAAGATCTGATTCCTAGAACATGATATAGGCTAAGTTCGCTAAATATTTGTATTATTTAATGTACTTTATTAGTTCATTATATTCTGATTGCGTTCCGATTTACGTAAAGAATTGTATAAAAATATATCTGTGAATATTTTATTTTTGTATCATTTTCCATCCTCATGAAGTATAATATTATTTTAAATAAAAAAATTAAACAATTATTTTCTTCGAATTCAACCCTAACATTATTTTTATAGTAAATTTAATAATTAATGGAGTGAAAAAAAAAAAGAAAAATTGGAAGGAAATAAATCTAAAGAAAGTAAAGACGAAAATTTCTTTCCAGGTGCAAAATTGAGCACAGTGGAGGACAAATATAAGAAAACCGAAATGGTACGTAAGTTATTAATTAAGAGGCGTAATGTGGAATACGTTTTACAATACGGCAATGTTACGCCTTTTATGTGGTATAAGGGCAGGTACAGATGTTTCTATTGCTCCGAGCCGATGAAAGATCCTGATTTGTTGAGGGATCATACCGCCAAAGTGCATCAGTTCGCCAACCTAGAACTAGTCGTTTACGACAGGACCAAAAACAACAGGAACAGGGACGCGGCAGTTAAAATAGACGTCACTGGAATCTCCTGTAAGTTGTGTTCAAAGTCTGTGGACGATCTGGAACAACTCATACATCACTTGATCATAGCGCACGACGCGGAATACGACGTCAGTGTGCCGAACTGTTTACTACCCTTCAAATTGGACAAGGAGCAACCAACGTGCCCAATTTGCAATATGAAATTCGTTTTCTTCGAATATTTGCTCCGGCACTCCAATAAGCATCACCTTTCACACGACTATATTTGTGATGTCTGTGGTACCAGCTTCCAAGGCGAGAATCATCTGAAAATGCACAACCGTTATTACCATAGAGAAGGGGGGTATACTTGCGAACATTGTGGTATTACCCTAGCCACATTATCCAAGAAGATACTCCACGAGAAAAACGTTCACATGGTCAATTTATCAACGTGTCCCCATTGCCCGGAGACATTCAAGAGTCCGTATTTCAAAAAGTTGCATCTAGCAAACGTGCACGGTGTCGAAGAGTTGAAGATCAAATGTCCTTATTGTCCGAAAGTCTATCCCCAAGAGAGTATAATGTCCCGCCACATGAGACGGGTACATCTAAGAGAGAAGAACGTTGAATGCGAAATTTGTGGTGACAGATTCTTCGGTCCTTATGACGTAAAATTGCATATGCTCAAACACAACGGCGACAAGAAGTTCGTTTGCGCGGTATGCGGCAAAAAGTTTTCCAAAAAGAACAATTTGAACACCCATTCGATCATACATACTGGGAGAAAGAAATATTCCTGCAATGTGTGCAATAAAGAGTTCGCACATCAACCGAATTTAAAGATGCATTACAAAACAAGACATTCGCAGGACGAGGCTAAAAATATGGAACAAACTGTAGACATCATTGATGAATTAGATGAGGGTGAAATTGTACAAATGGAGTTTGTTAGAGACGAATTAGAGGGAGCCGAGTTAACGGGAGAATACATACATTGAAGCTCTAAAACAAAAACTGTCTTCCAACAACTATAATTAATTGTATATATAATTATAATAATATTTAAAAGTAGACGTAGTTCTAACTTAAACTATCTTTGGTTCTTTCAAACTACCACATTACATATTTGGACTGGCGATGAGTGCATCTTAAAATGATGAAGACATCTGCACAGCGTGGCAATTTGCTACTTCCCTTTACAAATGGAGAGGTCTACTAATATTGCTGCAGATATATTTAAAATCCTATGACATATATTTTAAGGCTGCCTAATGGCACATTGCTTGTTGTTCAATTAAGTTATTTTTGCTGCCCACTAAAAGCAGCTCAATTCACTTTGTTTGCTGACGAAATATATTTCGAGCGTGATTACTTAGTACTATCATGATATCCCCAGTAGAACTAGAATAACCGATAGCCCAACAGCTTAGTAAGCTAAAGTGGCAATGGGCCGAATAGCTCGAAGAATCGACAGTCGATGGGGAAGAAAGGTTCTCGAGTATTAGCCTCGTACCGGTAGGCGAAGTGTGGGACGTCCCCCGACTAAATGGAGTGACGACCTGGTGAGACATGCAGGAAGTTGATGGAAGCACGTGGCTCAGGACCGTGCTTTGTGGCATTCTTTGGGGGAGGTCTATTTTCAGCAGTGGACTTGTGAGTGGCTGTAATGATGGTGTGTGCGGGTGGAGTTTAAAAGAACTACACTCACAGCATAATTTTGTGGTATTATCCACGGAACTGGTTTTCAGTGCGCCCTCTAATGAGTACCGACGAATGTGCGACAACAAGTACAACTATTACTTCACTACAACTGTTTCACCTACCACACATAAACATATTGTGAGTAAAAAAGATGATATTACAGATTAGGTTCTATATGCGCCATTTCACCAGTCATCTTAAACGACTATACTCCTACTAAAAGCACTGTCAAAAAGAAACAAAACAACAACTTAATATTTTTTTTAAATATTATATCAACATTTTTTTTAAACTAGTAAACGTTGGCATAATCTTCTCTATGATGCCTATGGATGAAGCTTAAGTTCCCGAGTGAGTTTTTAATAGGCTGTAACGAATAAATGAAACGTTAAACATTCACCACTCTCAAGCTAGCTTAATATGCTTGTGTTAGGTAGTGAGGTAGCCGTTTACGACCGTAGTAGAGTGGCGGATTCAAATCCACTGCTTTTTTAGTTTGCAGTGTGCCACAATTGTTAGACTACTGTTGCTCATAAACGTTGATAAATGAACGATCGGTCCACCTAATTGGTAATTGTCTTCTGTATTCCAAGGTCACCGTGCCACCAACATCAGACAAATAATGCCAAAATAAACTGCTACCCCTGAGGTTTAAAATGAATCACCTTATGTTCTTTCATTTTTATCTAGCTTTTCTTATCCTTCAGAAACGAACCGGAACATCCTAGACAGAAAACATGCTCTACCCAAAGATTTAAATAGTTAGATGCGCCCTTACCATAGTACGACCACTCCGAAATGTGTCCATACTCAAATGAGTGAGCTCAGTCATTCGCAATCAGTGCTCATTTGTGCGACAGAGAAAGTAGTATACACAATTTCTGTAAGATAATAAGAGATGACACTATTGCGTTAGTGTGAGTGCGTCAGCGTCTTGCAAACTAACACATCCAAAAATAATGCCACAGTTTTCAAGGTGAGGGCGCATCTAACTATTTAAATCTTTGGCTCTACCATCTTGTAAACTACCCTAAGTTACACTTACATTGGCATCAGAAAGAAAGGTGATGTAAGGTGTTAAACCTTACCTTACCTAAAGGACCTTTTCAAATTCTCCTACTTACTTAGCAATCCTGAAACTGCACTCTCGCACGGACAATGCCGCTGCCCATTTCCAGCCTTCAGAGCCGACCTTACGATGCCCAGGGCAAGGAATTCGTTCCCTCCCCAGTTAATAGGCCAGTCTTGGTAACAATCCCACTTATTTAGTAACCTAATGCACCTGATCGCAAGTTAGGTTTAATATACCATTAGGGCATCAAACTAATCAGTTCTTCTCTTAACCGTGGTAGAGCCATGCTGCAGTTATATTAGATGTATAGTTGTAGCACGAATGGGTCGCCTCGACCGGGGAAGGACCACGCTCTCACAGAATACCAGCGTCAAATAGTAGCTTAATGCTGCTGTGTTTCGTATGGTGAGTGTAGAGAACCAGAGACCCATTTACTGGAAACGAGGCATTCGATCTTAGTCCTTAGTCCTCACGGGTGACAACCTATCTGCATTTTGATTCGTAATCGAGGATAGATGTAGATGTCTATGGGCCACAGCAACCACTTACCATCAGGTTGACTGTGTGCTCGTTTGTCACCCTATCCTATAAAAAAACCATTAGAATTTAAAATTGTTTCTCGTGGCGTTCCCTTACCAGTGACTTCTCCAATATGTCGATCACCAGAACTCTGTATAGCTAACAGGCTTGCAGTAGGTACAGGTGAAGGAGACAACGCCAAAAATCATTCAGATTCGGTTAATCCTTTATTTTCTTCTCCTTTTCAATAATTATACGTCATATTATTATTCGTGATAACCTTGAAAACCACTATTCGGAATTTAAAACAAAAAGTGAACTGGCGTAAACGATCGAAAATCTCTTTGCAGGGGCAAAGATCAAGCACGAAGAACACGAGACGTATCTCGATCGTTTGAACAGCATCAGAAGGAATATAATACTCTTACTGCACTTTGGCAATGTGGTCCCTTTCCATTGGAATTCTAGAGGTTTTAAGTGCTTCTACTGCGGTAAGCACATGAAAGACTGCGATATGTTAAAAGAACATACTATCAACCATAAGTCGATCGATCTAGAAAAGTTTATTCCACAACGAGTGATTTCCAAAGATGTACCGGTGAAAATAGATGTGGCTGAAATTGCTTGCAAAGTATGTTCTACGGACGTAAGTAATGTGGACGAGTTGATCGCACATATCGTTTCCCAACACGACCAAGAATACGACGGATCGAACGGAGTGTGCGTTTTCCCGTTCGTCCTTAACAGGCAATTGATGCAGTGTGTTCTCTGCGATGATAAATACGACAACTTTACGTGCATTCTCGCCCACATGTTCAAGAAGCATATCGAGCACAGATACATCTGTCAGATTTGCGGCCTCAGCTTCATCGATCAAGTCAGACTGAAGAGGCACATAAATAATAGTCATAACGGGTACCGGTGTAAAATATGCGGGAAATTATTCGACGCTTTCCACAAATTAGACAAACACAAGCAACGAATACACGGGCAAGTGCGATCACATGGATGCAGTTTATGCAGTGCTACTTTTGCGAGTCCGTACCAAGTTAAGGTACATATGGGAAAAGTGCACAACGTCGAAAAATATAGGATACAATGTGAACACTGCCCAAAAATCTGTACGACAAAAGGTGCGATGCTCCTACACGTACAGTCTCTACACTCCGATGCTAAATACGAATGTGATCTCTGTGAATATAGAACCGGGATCAAATGGATGCTAAAGTTACACAAACGGAGGCATTTCGGTGAGAAAAATTACGAATGCAGCATATGTGAGAGGCGTTTTGGAAGATCGAGTAACCTGCGAGCGCATATGAAAGTGCACACGGGCCACTTTGGACGCGTATGTCGATGGTGTAGACATGGATTTGCTGATTTTGATACTTTAAACGCACACGAGAAGAAATCCCATTACTATGAACAATATAAATGATCGGTCGCACTTATATCCGTTGATTATTTCTTTCTTAATTTAAGTTTAAATTGCAACCGGGCCACTTTGGACGCGTATGTCGATGGTGTAGACATGGATTTGCTGATTTTGATACTTTAAACGCACACGAGAAGAAATCCCATTATTATGAACAATATAAATGATCGGTCACACTTATAACCGTTGATTATTTCTTTCTTAATTTAAGTTTAAATTGCACACGGGCCACTTTGGACGCGTATGTCGATGGTGTAGACATGGATTTGCTGATTTTGATACTTTAAACGCACACGAGAAGAAATCCCATTACTATGAACAATAGAAATGATCGGTCACACTTATAACCGTTGATTATTTATTTCTTAATTTAAGTTTAAATTGCACACGGGCCACTTTGGACGCGTATGTCGATGATGTAGACATGGATTTGCTGATTTTGATACTTTAAACGCACACGAGAAGAAATCCCATTACTATGAACAATATAAATGATCGGTCACACTTATAACCGTTGATTATTTCTTTCTTAATTTAAGTTTAAATTGCAACCGGGCCACTTTGGACGCGTATGTCGATGGTGTAGACATGGATTTGCTGATTTTGATACTTTAAACACACACGAGAAGAAATCCCATTACTATGAACAATATAAGTGATCGGTCACACTTATAACCGTTGATTATTTCTTTCTTAATTTAAGTTTAAATTATCTTTATACCTGTTTCTTTCTATTGTCATTCAGTGAAGAGAGAGTGAGCAACTTTAAGCATTTTTATATTACCGTCAATTTATATGAGTGTGGCCGGATAAGTCTCATAGTTTGAATTGGAAACGTTGCCATTTTTGGACACGTGTAGTGTTTTAATTCTTACTTTACCCCGACAAAACTCAATAATATTTTAAAATACCTTCGTTTTGGCTTAACTTATGGTAATATAAATTTTTTGATTACTTATTACAGAAACTCGCCCCAAATATTTTACATTTTAACTGAAATACGAGGTTTTGTCACTAGTCCATATAGTTATAGTGTAGTCTTTAATATAAAGTTGACAAAAATAATGAGGGTACTTGTCTGTTGCGGAATTTGATTGAGATTTCAATTCTTCATTAAAGTTATTTATTTGTTTTTGTAATTATTTATATTACATTCTTTCGTAAGGCGTTTTGTTATCACTTACCACAAATATAAAAAATATTACTTTACTATAAAAATTAAGCATTGAGATTAAACCTCCTTTTAGAGCAATTATTGAAATAATACGTTGCGAAGTGCCAGGGGTCATAACGTTGAGTTATTGTCATTATTTTTATTGTTTTTTATTAGCGTTAAAAGCTAACAGAAAATTAATAAATAAATAAAATAACCCCACTGATTAAGTTTTTATTTAATATATTTATTAAACAATTAAAAAATCAGCTTAAAATTAGTCCTCATGATTTATTATATTTACGCGAACACTACACATCGATAAAAACTACTTTTACGGATTTTATCGCGTTTAATTTTAAATGATTTTTAATTTCCGATGTTTCGGGTGCTTTCCAGCACCCATGGTCACGGATGGACTGAGGTGACTGACGTCCCAATGTCAATATTAACCCGGCTTAAGCTTTTTAATTATTGTTATTGTTGAACAATAATTAAAAAGCTAAAGGTACTCCACTCTGGGTTCGGTCACCAAAAATAAAAATAATAAAAATGCCCTCCATATAGCAATTTGATCATGGATCAAAGACTACCCGTCTTTAACGTAGACTAGCCATCAGCACAGGACAGAATTATATAGTGCACGATTGTGTGTGTGAAAACACAGGTGCACTCTTTAAAGCAGGACCAACGTTTTTACGTGCTTTTCAAGACACGCGGTAAGACACCGTTCAACTTCCTCACTGCTACTGAGTATTTCTTGACAAAAGAACCTAATAACTGATTTTGAACCGATCCGGACTACGAACCCAGGACCATATGATCAGCAGTCACACTTACACTACTAGACCAATAAGGTTACATAATTATCTGATGTAAATTTTAAATCACGTTGATAAAGTGCGCGCATAAATAATGACAGCGTTTACTTAGTGACATTCAGTGATAGATTGTCGAAAACTACGTTCGCGGCTAACAAAACAAAGAACTAATCTTCTCGCCAGTTCGCAGAAGCCTAAAGAATTACGGATAATTTACTGTAACTTAGTGCGCAATATATAAGTCGAAAGTAACAAATCCTCTGTAGGTTTATCCAATAGCCAAACACCGCTTCGCTGCCGTAAGTTGATAGCCGGTGGCGGTCTCCTCACTTTCATTTAGTCGCCGCGATGTGTGAGAGGACGTCATGTGATTTCACATATCAAAAGTAAGTTTTTGAAGTTTTCGTATTTAATGTTTTCGTAGTCCTAAAAGGATAATATCAATCTGAATATGTGCATATTGTTGCGCGCCTAAGTTGACGTCATGTACCCGGCACTAGCGCCATCTGTGTCGGGTAACGGAGCGAGGAGAGCTTTCCAGAAAATGACCACTAATTACTCAACCGACAGCGCCATCTAGTATCGAAATGAAGAACTAAGCTTCTAGAAGCCCGACACTCGAGCTTTCGACGCCTAGTCGATTGGCGCGCGTATTTACTTGAATATTCTGGATGTTTCGGTGATAATGTGTATTTAAAGGCGCTGCAAGATGCGATCGAGGAAGTATTGAATTTGTCGAGACAAGCGAAGCTTCGGAGCGGAATAAAGTGAATCAGTGTGATTAATTATTAGTGTTTTAAATTTTAATTAGTGTAAAGTGAATTAAAGTGTTAATTTTGGTAATTCAATCGGCAGTTTTTATTGTGACGAACCTCAAGCTCGTAACAATATACTTGATTACCTACATAGAAGTGTTTGACTGCCACACATAGACCACTCCCGTTATTGGATTTACCTTAGTTGTTAGACTTGGTAACCTGACCCTCACCACCATAGAATACTATAATACACAATAGAGTGGCTGTCAAACTTATTACTACTAGATTCGGCGTCGCCGGGAGCACACATACAAGCAATTACGTCGTATTATCACTACTACAAACCCGATTCGCTGTTTTGACAGACTGAGTAAATTTAAATATTTTAGACTTTTGATTAATGTGTTAAGATCATCATTAAAAAATCGTTTAAATTTTAATACATATTTATATGTAAATAGTGTGCAACTTGGTATTTTCTAAATAATTTGCATGCGAAATTTGGAAACGATTGTTACCTCAAAACACATCTCGTGTTGACATTTATACGTATGACATGTTAGTGACATTTTAGTGGCTACAGGGGCTCCGCCCACTCCCCCGTTCTATTATGTATGTATTATAGTATTCTATGCTCACCACTCACCGCACTGATTATTTACGTCTGACTTTAACAAGATGATGATCTGTCGGAAGTCATTAGATCTTTTTGTCTTGAGATTCTTAATTCACAGGAGTAAGAGCACATCTAAGCGTTCACTTCTTAGCTGTGCACATGCACTAACGCCATGAAGTATGAATCTACGCCATAGGAAAAATGCGGGGAAAACGCAGGTTTCCAGCAGTGTTACATTACCTCAAGATATCTGTGAGCGTCCATAAACCACCGTTTAAATGCTATGGACACCCTTATGAGGCTTAATAATGTCCTCCAGGGCGAGTTTCGGTCAAGGTGGCCAGTCTCGACGGAGACTAGCCAGCTGTGCAGGACAGGATTATAGTGCCCGAGTATATGTGCAAGCTCAGGTGTGCTCTCTATTCCTTCTCACTCATAAACCAATGGCACGGCAAGCTGACACGACCGGAGATTAATCAGGCTTTCCGTGCTTTCCGAAGCTTGAGAGTGAGAAACACTGTCATCTTTCTCACTACAGGCTGCTACTGAAGATTGCTTGACAGAAAAAGTCAGTAACTCGTTTTTATTGGAATTCGAACCCGGGACCTCATAATCCCGTGTCGTGGAGCCGTGGTAGCTCAGATGGTTAACGCTCGCTGTAAATATAACAGAACGCGAGTCACCCGGGTTCGATCCCCGCCGGCACCAATGAAATTGTTAATTTCAATTTTAAGTGCTGATTTACCACGTGCTCGGCGGTGAAGGAAAACATCGTGAGGAAACCTGCATCTCTGAGGAATAAGGAAAAAAATATATTTCGAAGACATGTGAAATTCGCAAACACCCATTGGAGGAGCGCGGCGGTCATTTCCTTGCCCTAAAGCCCTCTCAGAAATGAGGGGAGGTCTGTGCCTAGCAGTGGAACGTATATAGGCTGTAACTTTACTTTACTTTTTTACCTCATAATCAGGAGTCACTTTTACGACCACTAGTTCAACAAGGCAGTCTGTTATTAAGCTTATTAACTTAACAAAGGTGTAAGTAAAGACTTACTCTGTTTCTTAGCTTGTTAACTTTTTAAGCGCAGTCACCTATACTTTAGTCACTCGTGGGTCCTGTGCGCCAACGACATCAATTAGCGACAAAAAACCCTGTCTTTTAATTCTACAGTCCTCAATATAGAATATCCCAGCAATATGTGAGTATAAAAAACAAGTCTCTTAGATGCCCAAGTATGGGCCTCATGGGCTTTTATCGAAGCAAGTACTGGAGTACTGGTTGTATATTGTTTTACCTTTCAAGAATAGACCGAATATCTCGGAAACTAAGCAAGATATCGAAAATTTTAATCGTACTTTTCGGCGTATCTCGTCGAGAGCTATGCGAATCCGCCTTCAAATTTTGCAGGTCCGCATGAGGTGTTTTTTGTACTAGACATATACAAAGAGTGGGAAGTAGCACAAGATTAAATAAAACATCCCAGGTTATAACTAGTCATTTATCCTATACCTTTGAATGAGCAATTCTTGTTGTTGTTGTACATATATATAATCGGAATCTCGGAAACGGCTCCAACGATTTTCATAAAATTTAGTGTCCAGGGAGTTTCGGGGAAAATAAATCGATCTATCTAGGATTTATTTTTATAAAATGTCTTTGTCCGTGTTTTCAGGCAATGAAAAACTGCTACAATATAAGAAGGTAAATTTTGATACTGTGTTAATGATCGTAATAGCTCAAGTGGATATCGAGCGGTCGTGAAATCATAATGCCTGGGTTCGCGTCCTGTCTTCGGTCCGATTTTTTTCCTTTTTTTTCAAATTCCCTTTTGTGAGAAAATCTATTATTTCGAGCTTTTTTTTATTTAGTATTTTTTTAAATACGAAAATTTTCATTAAAACTAATTGCACTCATGATTTTTTATTCAAATAACCAGTTTAGTTTTTTCTATTATGTCAATAAGATCAAAAAATATTATTCATCAAGTAGGTATGTAATTTGTATCTAAATGTAATTTCCAAAAAAAACCGAGCAAAGCTCGGTCATCCGGGTACTTGCATATAAAAACCAACAAAAACAAGTCACTATGATATATCAACTCCTGGCAGCACTATTTTTTTCGTAGGTATTTGTGTTTACTTTGTGCTTTGGCGTATAGGACTCGGGAATGCGTTTGTGGCGTAGCGCTTAATAGGTTAAAAACTAATGATTTCTTATATTTACGCGAACACTATACATTGATTAAAATTACTTTTACGGATTTTATCGCGTTTTATTTATATTAATTTTAATACCCGACGTTAAAAACTACTGAATACGTATACGTAACGTATATAACGTTAGGTATCTAATATGATTATTGCATTGTCGATACAAAATAGCCGGGTTAGTCAAATAACGAAGCGGTTAAATAGCAGTAGTTATTATAATGCTGCTGTGGGCGACCGGTGACGTGAACCAGATACTCTTTATACTGAATGCGGCATTCCATCTTGTTCTCGGGTATGACAATGTATCTGCATGTCCTACGTGTAGTTTATGTTCCACATAATCCTTATCATGAACTGGCTCGTTGTCGCCCATTGAATAGAAAGAAATAGGAACTATGAATTGTTTATTAAAAGCACTATATTTGTTTAATTTTGCCTTCAATCGTGAGAAATTGGATATGAATGCATATTATAAAAGGTTGCTGCTGGCACAAATTTCCGAACACCTTTAGGAAGAAACCTACTGAAAAAACCTAGGCGAAGTCGGAATACGGGTGAACCACAGTCAAATATGCATTAAAACAATATAATGGCGCGAGTGTACGCCTCTACTTGAGCGCATATTTGATCCTAAGGAAAACGCATAGGATGCGCGCCTGTATAATGTCCGCATCGCAATTCTTTCTATGAGCGATAACGTTTTAGAGAAGTGATTGTATGTGAAGAATAAACGAAAGTTTTCCTTCCAGGAGAACCTAGAGGTGGTCAGAAAACTGCGAAACAGCTGAGCGTCAATATTAACCCACCAATCAGCGAAGAAGAAACGATTCCAATTGCAGAAATGATCACGCAGCCCAAATTGGCACTGACTTCGAAAGGAAGACTGAAAATAATGAGAAACAACGTGCTCCAAGTGCTGTTGAAGTCGACCGTGATGCCGTTTCGATGGCTTAAGAGCTCTTACAGATGTTTCTATTGCTATGACATTTTCCAAGAATCTTCTGAACTGAAGGATCATCAACAGATCCATATTGGGGATAACCTTAAAGAGCAAGCGATGAATAATTACTGGGAACAGGTTGTTTACATTGATATTTCAAATATGGCGTGTAAATTATGCCCAGAGAAAATAAACGACCTATACGACTTAATAGACCATCTAGTAGACAAGCACGATGTTGTATACAACAAAGACATTGGTGTGTGCATGGTGGCGTTCAAGCTGGACAACTTCGCAGTGAACTGCCTGGCTTGTGGTGCAAGCTTCTACACATTTGGACCACTTTTGCATCACACCAACAAGGACCATAAGGGCATATCGGCGATCCTCTGCGAGGTTTGCGGACAAAACTTCAAAGATGCAAACCTCTTGAGGTTGCATGTTAAAACCGTTCACGAAAACACCGGGGTTCTGTGTCCCGAATGCGGAGTTAAGTTTGAAACGCGCTCAAAGCTAAAAACCCATCAAAAGAACCAGCACGATTTGGACAAAAAATACAAATGTTTGGTGTGCACCCAGACGTTCCAGAGCCACTACAAGAGATCCCGACATATGGCGGCCGAACATAAGAACAAACAAGAAGTGAAGTGCCTGCACTGTCCGAAGACCTTCGTATTTAGGAGTATGATGATGACGCACTTGCGGGATACGCATCTGAAAGTGAGGAATCATGTTTGCGGCGTTTGTGGGTGGAAAGCGTTCAACAGTAACCGATTGAAGAACCACATGTATAAACATAGTGGGGAGAAGAACTTCAAGTGTGAGGCTTGTGACAAAGCGTTCACTACAAAGAAAATCATGAGAGCCCACTATGCGAGAATGCACAAAGTGGTCCAGCAGCAAGTGATGCCGTATGACAACCCTTACGCTGGCCATCAGTGATGGTCTACTCAATTACAAGACTTTTGTATCTAGTAAGAACACCAGAGGCAAAGTCCTCTCTTTATTTAGGAATACCCACCAGCCATACTTGATGGAGATTCCATACTCATGAAGGCAGACTTAGAGATAATATCGAATGCCTCTTATTGACTTCTAATTTGTATATACTCAGCATTCAAAGCGGCCTGATCCAATCTCGGTCTCAGATGTCTTTGATTTTATAAGATATCAGTACATTAATACCGAGATTTTGGTCCTGATTAGTACTATTTCCTATAAAATTTTACAGCTATATAGTTATAGATGCTTGGTACATGAATCTCAGCAATTATTAAGAACTGACCAAGACCTTGGTCTCGGTAGCTAGAAAAGCGTCTTGTTTAAACTTTGATCTCGTTTGGTCTCTTCTGTCGCCGTACTAATTGAAGATTTCGGTCTCAATTAAGTAACTTCTTAGCTTTTTTTTGTAGGATAGGATGACAAACGAGCACACAGTACACCTGATTGTAAGTGGTTGCTGTGGCCCATAGACATCTACATATATCCTCGATTACGAATCGAAATGCAGATGGGTTGTCATCCGTGAGGACTTAGGTGGAATGCCTCGTTTTCAGTAAAAAGGGTCTCCGGTTCTCTATACTCACCATACGAAACACAGCAGCATTAAGCTACTATTTGACGCTGGTATTCTGTGAGAGCGTGGTCCTCCCCGGTCGAGCCGACCCATTCGTGCTACAACTATACTACTAATATAACTGCAGCATGGCTCTTCCACGTGGCTGTTTTATACCTGTGTTTTCTCCCTAGGTAATGACATAAGAACAAATATTTTTTAAGATAGGACTATTCCAGCGATAGATATAGATTAGGTATATGTTTTTTTAAATAAATTAAATGTGTTTTGAAAATTAAGAAGTGTCTAAAATTGCTAAAACTACCTATTTAAACCTTTGGTATTAGACATCCAACAAACAAATTTAATGAACGTTGTAGATAAAATATAAACATACAGAAACATACATGTCACAGCTCTTCATAAATTGTTCTAAAAAAATATGAAAACTGTTCCGGTTTGGGGAAAGAAACGTATATTTTTCATATATATAGTCAATACGATATACAATTTTCTCTTTCGGTTGCTTAATACGGTCGTTTGGAGACAGCGCGACGACAATAGATCGTCAAAACTCCATTAGTAAAAATTTTATTTTTCGGCGCACACATTGCCAGTAAAGAACACAGTGACATTTTTAATAGGCTTGGTGAATGAAATGCCTTTGCCTCACTTCTCTAACCTCGAGTCATAAATAAAATAATTAATCTCACGCTAGGAATTTCTCCTGTATCATGGAAGCGTCTTTTAAAGAAAGAAAGGTTAGAGGCTACTGCCCCCAATGACACCTTCAGCCAACTTCAGATAAACTTCTGAGGACCTGTGAGTATAGAGAACCTGAATATCTATGCGTCACAGCATCCACTTACCATCAGGTGGACTGTGTGCATTTACCCTTCTGCTAGGTAGCAAAAATAGGAATGTGATTGATTGATACTTTCTAATCTAGATCTAATCTCTCGACCAAGATTAAAATCTTCGGTTTGACCTTGAGCGTTATGTGAAGCTCTAAGGGGATAGAGTAAGTCAGCTCAAATTCTAATTTCGTCCCCACTTGCCCGCGCGTCGTATGCGATGTACCGACATGTTTGTAATCACTAATACTGTAAGTAGAAAGGTCATTAGACACTTATTTCATTAGGTTTATCATATTTATGCCTGTTTCTTAACGCCAAGCCAGTCGCTTGTTATTTTTATTACGGTTATTTCCCATTTTAATTTTACGTCGTCCTGTTGCGTAATGTATATTCTGATCGTAAGCGACACAACCTCCCCGTTCAAAGGCCGAAGCGAAGTGACCGTGCGACAGGAATCACGCTTCAAAAGGCCGATAGTTTAGGTAATTTCTTTTTTACAGTAAAAATAATGGTATTTTAAAAAAAGTAAATAACATAAGCACTGCTTTATAGTTAGTTCAGTTAGTATGCAAAGTTTCATGATCTTATTTAAAGTATTTTATGAATAACAGCGGTTTATTGTTTATTTTAGAGGCAAAGTTACCTCCAAAATAAACAATAAACCGCTGTTATTTTTTTTCTATCGAAAAAATTTTACGAAATCGTATTTTCGTCTAACATAATCCTTAACATTAATCCTCAACTTTACCGTATATTTATTTCAAAATTAATACTGCAATATTTTCGGCATAACGAAGGATCTTGTTAAGCCGTTTGAGACTATATTTCCCCTTAAGGAATTTTATGTTATGAAAGGTATTCTTTCCTTAATTGCCGCAACCCACTTTACAAGTACTTATATTCAGTGTTTAACTTTGCTGTCAGCAGATCTAGCTATAAATTATGTTTACATGCGGCTCCATGGCGCAGTGGGTTAGCAATGAGTTGTACCGCTAAGGGTCGCGGGTTTGAATCCTGCGCGAAACAAGTATTTGTATGGCCTACAAATAATTCTGGGTGTTTGTCCTTGTGAAATTTATGTTTGTAAACTGCCTGAAGGATACGAGAGAAAATTCTAGTGTGGGGGTAACGGTTATTAAGAGACAAAAAACATGGAATTGCCAATATTCTGAACCGTTCACATAGAGCATCAAGGGCCACCGATGGGAGAAGCCATACGCAGGCGTTCATTCGATTCGCTGTCACCGTCAGTAATACTGCTATAATATATATGTCGCGTCAAAGGTGTTTTCTTCACGCTCCGACATGGTTTTATGTAAATGTGGGCACACGAACGAAAGATGATTTAAATCAAAAATAACTTTATTTAGACTAGTGGTTGTACACGAGAAACAAACGCGTGCGTCGGTAGCGAGCGTCCGCTCCGGCTGTCCGAACTCAACTGCCACAACACTCGGTCCCTTCTCTAGCCCTCGCTGCATCCCCTCTACCGACGATCGTGTCCAAGCGGTAGGGCGCGCTTGCGTTTCCGGTAACGATATTATTGATTCGCAAAGCTAATTGTTAGATGGCGCTGCTTGTAGCACTATGGCGCCATCAATCCACGACACGGCCATCCCTGACTAGCACCCGTCCTCGGGTGCAGTGCCTGTGGACAAAATATGCTCAGAGAATAACTTAGCTCGGCTATCCTGCCAACGAAAACGAGGTTGATTCCAGATGGTACTTTATTTCTCCTAAATCTAAGTACAGTAATCAACTGCCATGATTGACAAAGCCCTATTATTAGGGCTTCTTACACAGTGCTTCCTGCACTACATGATTTATTGTGAAAGGCCCGATCAACAAGTTCCAACACAGCAATTCTGACAATTTTGTTACTCTTTACCATAATTCATAAGCAATGAATACTCAACTCGTGAAACTTTCATTGAAATCTGTGCACCAGCACAGACCAGAATCGCACCAACGATTCTTTACATATCTGCCGTCACATATGCCAGAATCGCACCAACGATTCTCCACATATCTGCCGCCACATACGCCACAACACATGAGGGGCTCTGTGCACCAACACAGGCCAGAATCGCACCAACGATTCTTTACATATCTGCCGCCACATATGCCAGAATCGCACCAACGATTCCCTACATATCTGCCGCCAAATATGCTACAACACATGAGGGGCTCTGTGTACCAACACAGACAGAAATCGCACCAACGATTTCCTACAGACCCATCGCCACATGTTACTCATGAGGTGCGGTCTACAGTTTCGAGTATGAGTATACATGCCATTCTTAATTAGATTTGGTTTCACTATCGCTGTCATCAACTATGACGTCTAATTCTCGAGGAACTTGGTGATCGGGGACCTTCCTCACACGATCATGGGGGTATTTGTAGGTTCGCTTAGAGTCAAGCGCCTTTAGTAGGTATCTATCCCCATCTAACACATCGATAATCTTAAAAGGACCTTTAAACTTGGGATCTAATTTCGTTTGATTCCTCTCCTCATTTTCAATTAAAACGTAATCATTGATAGCTAATTTACAAACCCGAGCCTTATTTCGGTCAAATCGATTTTTATCATAATTGGCATTTTTTTTGATATTCTGTGTCGCGTGCTCTCTGATCTCATCCAAGTTAAATTCTGTCACATCATCATTATCGGTGGTTACTAAACTAAGCGGTCGTGCTACCCTTCCTATCATCAACTCTAGAGGGCTATATTTAGTCACCCTATTAATAGTAGAGTTCATGGCCAGCTGAACCTCTCCTAATGCGTCCTGCCAAGAACGGTCACGACTAGTCTCTACCGCTGTTAAGATACTCTTAAGCGTACTCATTACCCTCTCGACCTGACCATTTGCACGGCTGCCTCCAGCAGCTATCAAGTGCAACTCGATGCTATTAGAAGTACAGAAACTAGAAAAATCTTTGCTTGCGAAGCAACGACCCTGATCTGCTATTATGCGTTTCGGTGCACCAAACAGAGCTATACAGAAATTAATAGCACGAATACTACTATTAGTGTCGATGTTTAGCGAATGACGAAGTAGCACAAATTTGGTAAACGCATCTAATATGACAAACACGTACTCCTTGATGTCATTCTTCCCAGATAATTTACCAGAAGCGTCAATATGGATTGTGTGCCATGGGATATTGAACTTGGGAATCGGGTGCAGTTCTGCTTGAACTTTACCCGAGTGGGGCTTCGCTACTTTACATGTGATGCAGTTGTCCACAAATTTCCTCACATATTTCGACATGCCTTCGAACCAGTAGTGTTCGTAAATCTTTTCGAGAGTTTTCTCCCATCCTAAGTGCATGACAGACTCATGGACGTTATTAATAACAGACCACCTAAGCGATCTAGGTACAATAGGCAGCCATCGAGTGCGACCGTTACGCTGAATTTGGCGATATAGAATGTTTTTACGAACTTCGTAGGTTTTGCGAGTTTCCTCAGGAAAAACTTCGTTACGAAGATCCACGTGAAACGATCTTACTAATCTCTTCGTCCT